CATCCCGGGCCCACAACCCAGGCATGTGCCCTGACCCGGCATCAAACCGTGACCTCCTGGTTCACAGGTCAACACTCATCCTCTGAGCCCACCGGCCAGGCAGAGGTGGAAGTTCTTATCGTCATGATCACCATCTCCATTTTACAGAAGAGGAAACTGAGGCACAGAATTACGTCACTTACTCCAGGAAGCGATAGAGGCAGGATTTGAACCCAGGCACTCTGCTTCTTGGCATTGGGTCCAGGTTGCAGCCCCCTTCTCCTAGCTCCCCGTCCCCTGATCCCAAAGGCTTCTGCTTCCCCGGCGCTGGCCATCTTCCTGGAGCTGCCCCACCCTGGTGACCGCGATGCCATCATCCCTCGGTTACCTCTGAGCAAACTGAGGCCCCGAGCGGGGGAGCCACCTGCCCAAGGTCCCTTACACCAGTAATGGGGCCTGAGCCATGATGCTCCCAACCCTGGTGACTCCAGACAGAGGCTTTGACCCTGGCTGATACCGGCCCTGGGCTGAGGGTGGTGAGGGGATACTGAGCTGTTTAAGGTGTGGCTTCTGCCTCTCTAGAGTTCAAAGTTCAGGGCTTCCCACGAGTCTCTAGTGGGCAGCTGGCCCCAGTCTTGCTCCCCAAAGGGCCTGGCATGGAGTCACTGGGGCCTGCCGAGAGCCTGGGTGCAGCCCAGTGCCTGACAAATATGCCTGCTGCTGCCCACCAGGGAGCTGGGGGGTGGTGGGGGGTGGTGGTGGTAGTGGATCAAGTTTCCAGATCAGACCAGTTCTCTTTCTGTCCTGAGTGAGTGAAGGGGGCAAGCTTGGGGCAGTGGGAAGAAAGATGCCTTGTGTCTGCCTGGAAGTCATTCCCCAGCTCAAAAATTAACCGCCTGATAAAGCATTTTCTTCCCCCCCGCCCCCCCCCCGTGTGCTTTGCCTGCAGACTTTAATCCCTGTGGCAATAGACTGGCTAAACCGAGAAGCTGGGACTTCTTTGGGGGGAGTGGGGATTATGCGGCTTCCCGAAAGAACTGCCTGGGTTGGGCTGCATGAATAGGGCTGCTCAGGGGCTGTGGGAACCTTCCTTTCTTGCTCCCAACCAGGGCCAGGACTCTGGTAAGTCCAGGGAGGCCCCCAGGGAGCACAGTTCAAGTTGGGCTCATTGTCAGGGTTGTGCACCTGCCTTCCCCTGGTCTCAGGCCTGCTGCCCACTCCTGCGGCACAGCAGCTTTCAAGGCAGAGAAAGTCCTTACCGCTGACGTGCGGCGTGACCCCCCCGCAAGCCACTTGCCCTCCCTGGCAGCCATTGTACTAGGGGTGAGGTCAGACCAGGATTTCTCAACCTCGGCACTACTGACACTATTGGGAAAGAGGAATTCTCTGTGGGAGCTGTCCTGGGCACTTTAGGAAGTTTAGTAGCATCCCTGGCCTCTACCCACTAGATTTCCCCCCTCTAATCATGACCAGCAAAAACGTCCCCAGGCACATGTCCCCGAGCGGGGAGGGGGGAGCGGACAAAATCACCCCCTGTTGAGAACCATGGGGTTAAATGATCTCAGATTCATTCTGGCTGTCATATTTTAAGGTTTTCTTTTTTTTAAAAAGATTTATGAAGAGTATTTAAGAACTTGAACTATTAATAATAAAGTACATTAATATGTGATTAATATATAATAATTTATCCAGCCCGGCCGGCATGGCTCAGTGGTTGAGCGTCAACCTATGAACCAGGAGGTCAAGGTTTGATTCCTAGTCAGGGCACATACTTGGTTTGCAGGCTTGATCCCCATGCGGGAGGCAGCCAATCAATGACTCTCTCTCATGACTTACATTTCTATCTCAGTCCCTCTCCCTTCCTATCTGAAATCAATAAAAAATATATTTAAAAAAATAATTTATCCAACATAATAGCTCATATTTACTTGGCATCCTCATGTGTCCATCACTGGGTCAGTGGTTAACTTATATGAAATAATTCACTCTCCGAGGCAGGTACTATAATCGTGTGCCTACAGCAAGTAAGGAAACTGAGGGTGAGGACGCTAAGTGACTGGCCCAGGATCACACAGCCAGAGTGTGGAAGGTTTATCTGATTCCCAAAGCCTTGCTGTTTCTAGTGTGCTTGTTTCACATAGAAACGTTAGGACATACAGTACCCCCTGAGGCCCTCACTGGAAGGCGCTTCTGGTGGAAGCCGGTGGAACCCAGACTTTTCTACTCCATCCACTTTTCTAAAGCAGCCTGACAGCAGCAACCAAGGGTAACAAAGGGAGAAGAAAACGCCATCTTTGATGAGAAGGGAGGACCACAGTCCCACCCCTGGTGCGTGAAGAAGTGACAATGGCGATGGGATTTGGACCAAATGGCAGAAGGAAACCAAGAGCCGTGCATGCTCTGCAGCTCCCAGACAGGACACAGACTGCTCCAGAAATATTGTTCAGCTCCAGAGCTCGTCCTAATCCTGGCAGAGCCTGGAGAAGACGCGGGGGAGGGGAGGCGCTGAGTACCGTGCAGTACGGCATTCAGATGAACTGGAGGAGGAGGCTCGGAGCCCCTCGGTGAGATGCAGGATGTTGGGAGGCGGGTGGCAGACAGAGGACGGACAGTGATCAGTTTGTCATTGTAACACGGCTCTAGTTTTCTTTCTCAGTCAGACTAAGAGGCACGAAAACTCAAAGAGACCCCTCAAAGGACCGTGACCTTCTTGGGTCTTCACACTGAGTCTCCGCAGTAAGCCCCACGCTCAGAGTGGAGACACATTCCAGGGCAGCGCTGGTGACCAGGGACTCTGCGATGACCAGCAGCGGTGAGGGGTAGGCACCTGCTGTCAGCCTCCTCCCAGCCCCTCTCCCCACACTTGCCTTTAACAAAGAACGGGTCTGAGAGGAGTAGCCCCAATCCTGTGACGAATGACTAGCATGGGACCCCCAAAAAGACAGTGTGAGAAATAAGAAGAAAGGGGACATCAAATAAAAGTAAAGAATAAACACTGAAGAGCTGTGTTATGAAGTTGGAGACACTACCGAATAGATATTTCTCCATGAGATTAAAAATAAAAAAAAAGAAATTATTTCAGTGGGATTCTCTGTGATGTAGACAACCCCAGATGATTATTCTCCATTTTCAGATGAACAAACTCAAGCTCAGAGGGTCGGTGACTTGCCACAAAAACTCAGTAGCAAAACGGCTACGCCCAGGCTTCCTGGCCCCGAGGCCCGGATTCTCTGGAGCAGCTCTGTCCCCAGGACTTTCTGCGACAAGGCCGGCATTCTCTGTCCAGAATGGGAGACACGAGTCTCATGTGGCTACTGAGCTCTTGAATTGCGGCTGGTGTGGCTGAGAAACTGGAATCTAAGTTTCATTGAAGTGGATGGATTTAAACTTGAATAGCTCCACGTGGCCTGAAGCTACTGCCTCTGGGCAGCTCAGCCGTGGACACGTCCTTGGCGCTCTCTTCCCTTGTACTTCAGCCATCACTGGACACCAAGTCCTCAAACCTGGCCTTTAAAATTAGGACCAGGCTTCTTGCTTCGGGCCCCGTCCTCTCGGGAACAGCCTCCTTTAGGCGTACCCGCCCCTGGGAGTTTCAGCTGAGTCATGCCAACTTCTGAGGGCCGAGGGAGGGGTAGTCTGGGAAGCCGAGAAATGTTTCACCGGGGCCAGGACTCCACCTACCTTGGGCCACCTTCTTGAAGTGGAACCTCTGGACAGAGCAGGGTGGTCAGGAGGCAAAGTGCTGACTCAGAGAGAGAGCCTTACAGGTCAGACACCTCCTGCAGCCTCTGAACTCCAGAAGTTAAAATTCACAGGAACAGGATCTGATGAGTTTGTGACTCTACCTTCTCCCCTAATCTACCTTCTGTCTCTGTGAGTTTGACAACTCTAGGTACCTCATATAAGTGGAATTGTACAATATTCCTCTTTTTGTGGCTGGCTTATTTCGCTTAGCATAATCTCTTCAAGGTTTATCCATGTTGTACATGTGTCAGAATTTCCTGCCTTTTTATGACTGAATAATATTCCATTGTATACATGTATACTGTATACCTCACAGTTTTCTTGTTCATCTGTCAATGGATGCTTGGGTTGCCTCCACATTTTAGCTTTTGTGAACAATGCTGCTGTGACCATGGGTGTACAAATACTCTTTGAGCTCCTGCTTTCAGTTCTTAGGGGTATAATACCCAGAGGTGGAGATGCTGGGTCATATGGTAATTCTTTTTCATTTTTTGAGGAGCTACCATCCTGTTTTCTATGGTGGCTATACCAATTTTATTCCCAACAAACAGGGCACAACAAAGTCCTTGCCATTATTACTATTATGGACGGAGTGTGTACTAAGTGTCGGGCATCGTGCTGCCTGCCAGGTAGAGATGCTACTGATGCTCCCTCCACATCCCCATTGACACTCCCCATTCTACGCATGCTCATAGCTTCTCACTGCCCCTGAGCTGCTCAGCACGAGGCCCTCCAGCTGCACATGGGGCAGGCTGGAAGGGTGGGGCAGCAATGCTCCCAAGAGCAGCCCTCAGTCAGTGATGACCAGGGAATGGGCAGGTGAATAGCCCAACTTCTTTGCCCCTCAGGGGGACAACCAGGAGGCATGATCTACACCATCCCCCAGAGTCCCCATCAGGCTTGGCCCCGGCTGCCCACAGCGGTAACCTCATTAACACTTCGCATTGGCTTCCTTCTCTGTTTCACTTCGCCACACCCTGCTGGAACTTTCTGAGATCCCCTATTAAGGCAAGTGTTTTCGGTCTCATGCTCGTCTCAGGGTCTACTTTTAAGTCAACGGGGTATTTCACAGAACCCTCAAACAGTCCTCTAAACTGGACAGATATGGCTTCCCTGTTCTAGAGTTGAGCAGAATGAGGCTCAGACAGGTGACACCACCCGCTTGGGCACGTACCCTCTCCTCTGCCTCCCCATGGAATGTGTCCGATGGGCCTGCTGCAGGACCTCCTCCCCTGCCCCTGAGCTGTGCTGAGCCTGCATCCCCCTCCCCTTTGCAGGAAGGCCGCTGCCTGTTTGTCATCCTGCTCATGGCCGTGTACTGGTGCACGGAGGCGCTGCCCCTGTCGGTGACAGCCCTGCTGCCCATCATCCTCTTCCCCTTCCTGGGTATCCTGAAGTCCAAAGACGTCTGCCCCCAGTACTTCGTGGACACCAACTTCCTCTTCCTCAGTGGTCTGATCATGGCCAGCGCCATCGAGGAGTGGAACCTGCACCGGAGAATCGCCCTCAAGATCCTCACATTTGTGGGGGTCCGGCCGGTCTGGTAAGGCCAGGTAACGGGTCCAGCCCAAAGGTGGGGCGTTAGAGGGACCACATCTCTTGGAGCCCAGATTTACTCTTCCTTGTTGCTCATCCAGGCTAACAAACGCATGTCCCGCCTTCCACTTACTTATTCATTCCTCCTATGTTTAATGAGCCCCTCTGTGTGGCAGACACAGTGAGAATTTTCAAAAGTGCCTAAGAACCACTGGGAAATCGGTTGAAATGCTGGTTCCCAGGCTCCATCCCCGGGATCTGTGGTCAGTGGTTTTAGAAGGGGCCGTTTAGCCGTATGAATCCCACCTTTCCTGCTCTGGGGAAGGGCTGAACCTTTCTCTGCCTGTAAAATGACGATATAATAGCCGAGACGTGCACAGCAAACACTGCCCATGAAGCATCCCAGTTTGGTGATTTCCCAGCCAAGGAGAAGGGAGGGTGGGGAATGGGGAGAAATGGCCTTAGAGAAGCAGGAGGCAGGTCTGTTCCTGCAGGCAGGCCCTCAGCCCCTGGCTCGGATTTGAATTTTTATTCTAAGAGGATTGAGTGGCCTTTCAAATAGGGCCATTGTTGTTCTTTGCTTTTTTTTCCCCCCCTCCAATTTGGTGAATCTTAAGTATTCCTTTGGGAATAATGTTTTTAAATCATAAAGCACAACACATGGGCTTTAAAACAACAATAAGCACAACAATTACAGCAAAAGACAGTCATCCAAATACTTTTTTAAAACACATAAATCCATGATATAATATCATAAGTATGTACCTCTTTCCAGTAAAAATGATAGGATATATCTACTGTCCTGACAACTGTAGTTTTGTTTTTCTTTTCTTTTTTTAAATTGATTTTTAGAGAGGGAGGGAGGGAGGGAGAGAGAGAAAGAGAGAGAGAGAGAGAGAGGGAGAGAGAGAAACATAGATGAGTTGTGTTCGGTTTGGGGCTGGTGACTTGGGCTGTGAAAGAATTCACAACTGAAAGAAGAGATAGATGCAAAGAGAAAGTTTATTTTACTTTCCCTGAAAGGTAAAGGGCCAGTGCATTGCTAATCAATACAGAAAACAAAAGTGGCGTCCCCTTTTAAGCCCTGGCTGCTGCTAAACAACAAGGAAGGGAGGGGAATCCTGGGCCGGAGTTGAGCAGATATCAGGGGGGTTGTAATTTGTTTGTTCTTCAGGAGACATTCTGCGCAGAGGTCCCAGGGAAGTGTCTTATCAGTATTTTTCCCAAACCTGTAAAACATGCTTAGAGTAAAAGTTATGAAGAGATCAAAAGAGGCTCGTTTGAAGAGGAAGGGGGAAGGGAACTGTCTACTAACTAGAGACTTCTTGATGCAAATTACCCCTGAGTTGTAGAAATAGCAGGGAGGAGGGGTATGCGAGAACATAGCCTTGAAAGTAACTATCTTGTCTTGCAGTTTGAATAGAGGGGCTGTGTGAATCAGAGGAGCTAACAGTCGTGGGGAGCTTTTCTAGATTGTGGAAGGCTACCTCACAGAAAAAGAGGCCTTTTCGTGTCCTCACACTCACAGTTTGCCTCCTGCATGTGCCCCAATGAGGGATGGAACCCACAACCTGGGTGTGTGCCCTGATCGGGAACTGAACCCGCCACCTTTTGATATACTGAATGAGCCAACAACTGAGCCACACCGGGCAGGGGTGAGGCAACCGCTGTCGTTTGGAGGCAGTTTTGAGTGTCAATGATATTCCCAGATGGTGCATCTGTTATACAGTAATGCCATATGAAAGTACCCGTGGTCTTCATTGGTAACCAAGTCCCAGGTACTTCTAATACCGCAGAACTTTGTGGCCTCTGTTTATCACAGATGGAAAAATTTCTATTAGATGTTAGCAAAATAAAGATGGATTTTTCTCCCTCCTTTCCATCTTGAATGATATCCATGGCCCCACCCTGATTATGAAACTCTATTTTAAAATTATCTAAGCTGGGGAGGGACATGATGAAATTTGCATTTTTTAAAAAAATCCCTCCTGGCTGCCAAGTGGAGAGCCGATGATCAGTGAGAAGGTGGATGCGGCCCACTTAGGAGACTGTGCTGGGGGTCCAGACCAGAGATGGTAACAGCGTGGACTAGGTGGTGGCAGTGGAGATGGACAGGATGTGAGAGCTCTTTTTGTGATGGGGGTGGTGGAAGGGTGAGAGTGAAGAAGATTCTGGGTAACATGTAAGTTTTTAGCATCTGCTTTGGGCCTAGCACTCTGCTAGGCTCTGAAGCTGTGTTTCCTCCTGGAGGAACTGCAGTCCTGGGGAGAGATTCCATATGTCATGGAATTTGATACCCAAGAAACACACGTGCTGTGGGAGCCCACTAGAGAGGTAGGGGTCATGTCATGGAGGAGCTTACATTTGACCTTGAAGAATGGGTGGGGCTCTGGCAAACATATTGTAAAGTTCCGACAATGTGACACTAGTTCAGACATAGATTTTAAAACAGAATAGCCCTGGCTGGTTTGCTCAGTGGTTAGAGTGTCGGCCCTCAGACCTAAAGGTCTCGGGTTCGATTCCTGGTCAAGGGCATGTACCTCAGTTTTGGGTTCCCCAGCCCCGGGAGGCACCCAATCACTATGTCTCTCTCATGTCAATGTTTCTCTCTCTCTCCCCGCCCCACTCCTCCCCCCCTTCCACTCTCTAGAAATCAATGGAAAAAATATCCTCGGGTGAGGATTAAGAGAAACATAACAACACAGAATCAATAATCTAGAAGAAATCTGAGTCAGTGGGGAAGGGAAGGGGGGCTAGGAAGGCTGTTTGGGGTGAGATGATAGAGGGTCTTGGTGCTAAACAAGGCAACTTTATTATACAAGGGGGGCCATCTGGAAAATGAGGGGGCTGTGTGCTTCCGATGTGGCCAACTCAGACCAGAGGACCTCCTGGACCCCAGTTCCAGCACCACCTCTAACTCCCTCCATCCCCAGGCTCATCTTTGGAATGATGGTGAGCACCGCCTTCCTGTCCATGTGGCTGAGCAACACTGCCTCCACCGCCATGATGCTGCCCATCGCCAGCGCCATCCTCAAGAACCTCTTCGGTGAGGAGGACGAGAACACAGGTGAGGCTGTGGAAAAGGGCGGGGCCAGCCTGCAGGTGGAGGAGTGAGTGGGGATATCCACAGGGTGTCAGGGCAGGCAAAGGGAAGGCACGATTGAGCACCTGTTATGTGCCCAGTATTTTAATAATAGTAACAATAATAATAACAACAACTGAAAAGTAACTAAGTCAAACCATGATACTTAAAAAATAGCACTTATTGAGAATTTACTATATATTAAGCAGAGTTAAACACTTTCCATACACCATCTCCACCTCTCAAAACAGTTTTATGAAATAGGGTTTCATTAAACCCTTTAAAAATATATATTCTTGCTGATTTCAAAGAGGAAGGAGAGGGAGAGAGAGATAGGAACATCAATGATGAGAGAGAATCGCTGATCGGCGGCCTCCTGCATGCTCCACATTAGGGATCGAGCCCACAACCCGGTCATGTGCCCTCACCAGGAATTGAAATGTGACCTCCTGACTTGTAGGTCAACACTCAACAACTGAGCCATGCTGGCCAGGCTAAACTTTTTTTTAAAGCATTTGAAGAGATGCTTAAAGTCATTAATGCCCAGAAAAATGCAAATTGAAACAACAATGAGATTGACTTTGATGAGACTGGCAAAAAATGAGAGAGCTGGATAATGCCAAGTATTGGCAGGAATGAGGGCCATTGGAACTCTGAGCACTGCTGGAGAAAGGGGAAACTGGGTCGGTCTTTCTTAAGGGCGTCCTGCAGATATTTAATCAGATTAAATGTGCACATACCCTGCCACTCAGCAGTTTTGCTCCTGAATGTAAATGTTAAAGAGATTCTGACAAAGGACCCTGAGAGGACGCATGTGATGTGACAATGTTCACAGCCGCATTCTCAGTGGTGTGCGAGTTGGTAGCCACATGGGTGTGATCACTAGCGAAAGGGAAGGGAAAGTGGGACGGGTGCACACCACGGAGCACTACTCTGCTTTTAGGAGCAAATATTGTTATATAAATGGAGCTCATAAAACATAGTTGTGATTGAAAAAATAGCCGGAAAGAGATACAGGATACATCTCCATTGTGTAAATACCATAATGCAAATTAAAATCACACACATGTGACCAAACATTTTGCAAGACCATAAACAAATGAAGAACAACACAGTAAACACATCAGAGTGGCTGTTCTGGGAAAGACGGGAATGAGAAATGGAGATAAAAGGGACTAAATGAATAAATACAACAAAAGAGGGGCCTTTGCAACAAATGAGAATGTGCCACAACTGAGGGCTCACTCAAGGCTCTGAAACCTCTGTGTTCTAAATAAAACAAGATGCATGTAGCTGCCATGTTTTCAGATGATTAAACGAGGGCTCAGAAAGGGGAAGTGACTTCCCCAAGTCACACAGCAGGCACATGGCTGAGCCCCACTTTGCACCCAGGCAGTCTGGCTCCAGAGTCCACTCTCTTACCCATGAAACCAGCTGCAATCATGGAAGATTCATTTGGCTGCAGGTAAAAGAATACCTGTCTGCAGGTGGCTTAAAGAATAAGATTTTTTTTAACTCAAATACCACATCCTATCTGCTTTAAAACATCTTCCTTTTTATTTACATAAATATCTTTAAACAGAAATTTCACATTAGTACATGTGAAAATTTATACCCAGAGATTGAAAATTTATACCCAGTATTGATTCTTCCTTTGTTCTTTTATTTTTTTAAAAAATATATATATTTTTATTGATTAGAGAGGAAGAGAGAGGGAGAGATAGAAACACCAATAATGAGAAAGAATGATTGATTGGCTGCCTCCTGCATGCCCAACATTGGGGATGGAGCCCGAAACCTGGGCATGTGCCCTGATGGGGAATCAAACCATGACCTCCTGGGTTGATGCTCACTC